AGTGCATGGTCAGCAGTGGCAGGACCCGCAGACTGGGACAGGGGGGGCTCAGGGATGGGGTGAGCTTCCCTGACCACAAGGCGGGGGTGTTAATGGGGCAATGCGCTGGGGTAAAAGAGGCGGCTTTGCACTGAGTCCCTGTCACCATGCTCAGGACCCACATTGCCCTCGGGGTCCCATCTCCCCACCCCTGAAGCAAGCCAGGCTGTAGAGAGTTTCCCTCTTGTCCAAGTCTGTCCCCAGGTGGTGGCTGCAGCAAGGCTGTCCCAGGCCACCCAGCTGGGCAGCTGCATTCCTCCAGGGCAGGGGGGCAGAGAGGGGAGCCCCTGTGACAGGGAAGGCTGTGAGTGGGCTGGGCTCAGACGCGAGGGCAGTCCCCCAGCAGACCTGGTCCCCAGCCCCCACTGTCTGACCCGCCAGCCCACTGAAGTCTCCCTGTGCCGCTTCCCGCTGGGTCCCCAGCCCGGTTTCCCATCGGCAGGGAGTTTCCCCCGCAGCCAGTGCCTCTTCCACTTGTCCAGACTGAGCTGGTTCTTGTCAAAACCGTGGGAAGACCCTGGGACGTCCCCAGGCCTCCGCAGACAACCTCCCCTGGGGGCCCTGGCTCATCCCAGGGACACTTCCATGGAAGCCAGGCAGGTGGTACCTGGGATCAGGGTCTCAGCCCCTAACCACCAGGCTGTCCTGCTTCAGCTTCCTTGGTTCTGCCACCTTGGTGGGGGCTGGGCTGAGGAGCCCTGCCTTACCCCCCAGAGACTTACTGGCCACAGACTCCCAGGGGCTGAACCCCACCGCCCCTCAAAGGGGCTTTGTGCCACCACAAAGAGGCTCTGTCCCTCCCAGAGAAGCTTGGGTGTTGCCATGGTGACAGAGGGAGCCTGGGAAGAAGGGGTCCAGCGTCTTGAGGAGAAAGGGTGTTCCTTTCTTGGTGCACACAGGCCGGTGGCCCTTGGCCCGGCCAGATAACTGGCCCGGCTGTGCTTCTGTGGGGCCCTCAGGGGCTCATGGGCCTCTTGGCTCCTTCCTGGATAGGTAGGACCTGGGCTCTCGGGCCCTGGTGCCAGGTGGATCCACTGGGTTTGGCCCCAGCCTGGCTGTGAGCCTCAGGCCCCTCCCCAGGAATGCCTCATGTGCCCTCCCTAGAGTGCGGTGGGGCGGGGCTCTGAGCCTGGGCCCCTAGAACTCCCCACATGTTGCTCTGCTGTCCCCGAGGTAGAATGGGGGGCCGGGGTGGCCACGTTCCTAGGAGCAGCCTGGAGGAGGCAGCGGGCCAGCCCACCCCACGTAGTGGGTCCTCTTACCCCCACAAGCTCCCCTCTCATGGTCTGGCTGGAGCAGGTGGGCTGCTTGTGCCACCAGAGAGCTCTGTGACTGCCAGCCCCAGTTCTCCCTGCTGGAGCCCTTGGGGTGCCCCTGGGCTGGCTGCTGCAGAGACCACAGAGGAGGTGGGTCCTCCCTGCCCAGACCCCACACTTGGAGCCTGCTGGGCATCGCCCATGGGCTGCGGCTGCAGCTGGAATCTGGGTCAGGTGCAGGAGGGGCAGCGAGGAGGCTGCCGGGAGTCCCAGCCTAGGGCCTGGAGGACTGCTGTCCATCCCCATCCCACGAATCTGCCCAGAAAGGTGGGCCCCAGGGAACCCAGGCATACCCAGAAGACGGGTATGCCGCAGTCAGCAGAGGGAGAAAGAGTCTGTGATCTGCCCCAGCAGAAATCTCAAACGGAGACCCTTTATGGGCCAATGGTGGCGCAGGCCTCCCCCTGGAGAGGGGCCGCAGCTGGGATGCTCATCTCCACCCAGCCCACCCTTCCGCCAGGGTGAGGCCTGCCTTTGCCGTATTCAGCCTGCAGGTCCCTGGGTGCTCCCTGGCCCCGGACCCAGGCTCTTGGCTCCCCAGACTTCAGGCTCCATGGGCCCCAGACGTGTCCCTGCCTTGACCTGACCCTGAGCCTCCTGCATCAGCACCCCACAGCCCCTGGTCCCCCTGGACCACCAGTCTAGCAGCCCCCTGCCCTGGGGCTGATCAGGGCTGCCTTGGACATGGCTCACCCTTGGCCTAGGGGGCCCCAGCAGTGCAGGGCAGGAGCCCTTTGGGAAAACAAACCGTACCGCCCCTGCACAGGACAGTCATCCTCTCTGTGGTCAGCGAGTGCTGCTGGGAGTCCATGGGAACAGTTTGGGGGCAGGAGGGGGTCACTGAGTGACCACTTCTGTCCATCCCCCACCTCCACGGTGTCTGATCCAGGTGCTACAGGGGTCCCTCTTGCGCTGGGGAATTCTCATTTCCAGGCTGAATTCAATTACAGTTCTCCCAGCTCTGTGAAACCCTGCTGCTCCCCTCTGGTGGCAATGGCACCACCCAGGCCCCTGGGAGAGTTTCCTGGCCTCACAGTCCCTTGCCTGGCCTGCTGGGCAGATGTCTGCTCTCCCGTGTCACCTACATTCTGGCTACAGCAGTAGCTCGTGCAGCTAGAACACTGGCATGTGCAGAACCCTGGACCTGCTGCAGCCTGAAGGCTGGGGCCCTCCACCCAGAGCACTGCTGCGCGGCCACACCCTCCTTCCACTCTGTGTGTGTGACACACGTGTGCGTGCATACATGTTGACTCTTTCCACACTCATCCTTTGCACCTCACCCTCTGGACCACACACCTTGCTTATGACCTTTGCCCACGTAGAGTTGGGGTTTGGTTTTTCCTACTGACTCGTAAGAGCACTTTATAGATGAAGGATGTCACTTTTCTGCCAGATACTGTAAAGAATTGATCCCAGTGTGTTGATGGTATTTTGTTTTTTTGTCTTTTTCTCCTACTTTCCATCATGGAAAATTATAAATGTACAACAGTAGAGTAGTGTGACGTGTGCCCACGTGCCAGCAGGCTCCTGTGGTCGGAGTCGAGTCTAGAGGTGCGGTCACGCTTGTCTTTCGTCTGAAGCGCTCGCTCCATGTGAAAAGCAGAAGCCACGACCACAACATGTGGTCCTTTTGGGATGTTCAGAAATATTTCATTCTCACAGAGGCGATCTGGCCCTTTTTCCTTGGCGGTTTCTTCCACTGCTTTATGGTCGAGAACAGACCCTTCCTGTCTAGTCCCCCAGGCCCTACACTGACTGTGGGTGACCCTGCAGTCCTGGCTGGGATGAATGGATGCACCCCACTCAGTGGGAACCCCACACCCCAGGCCTCTGGCTGCGGCCCTGCCCCCAGCCTTGGCCCAGTGCCCGTCCTTGTGGGCTCAGCCAGAAACTACCCCCACGGCCGTGGGCATTGTCTGACCACAGCAGGGCTGACGGGGTGAAGATGAGCCCTCTCCAGGCCTGGTCAGTGGTGTGGGGAGCAGGTCTCTATGCTGGCAGCACAGGGGGACTTGGTGCCCTCCCAGAAGGGTGGGCTCCCATGCCCCTGGGCCTGGGTTCTGCTCCTGCACCATCTCCTCGTCCAGTGGGCTGGGGGTCTGGTGTGTGAAGGGGGCTCAGCTCGCAGCCAGTCCCCTCCCTTCCCTAGTGGAGGACAGGCACAGTGGGCGGTGTGCCCACAGATGGCCGTGGAGGGTCAGCTCTGGAGCCCAGGCCTCCCCCTGCCTCCCCTGCCGGCCTGACCCTTAGGAAATTCCTCTAATTCCTCAACCCAGATTGGACTCGGTCCCCATAATTTGATTTTCTGGAGCTGGGTTTGGCCGGACTCCTTCTGAGGAGGAATGTCTGGTTCAGCAGGAAGTCGTCAAGTGTGGGCAGGGTTTCAGGGGAGGGTCAGCGTCTCCCCAGCTCCTCCGAGGTGCCTGCGCTTTCCTGGGGGAGCGAGCATTGGCCATAGCAGTGCCCCCAGGAGCTCCCTCTTTCCAGGACTGTTTCACAGCCTCGTTCCTGCCCTCCCTTCCATCCACCTAACTGTCCATTCACTCATCCTCCGCTGGCCTCCCGTTCTTCCCCCCGCCCGCTGCCCATGTGCCCACCCACCCTCTCCCACAAGCACCCCCTCACCGGCCTCCTACCCTTCATCCTCCATCCACTCACCAGTCCATCCACCTGTCCACTCCTGGGGTGCCCAGGCCTGGACCCCTGCCCCAGGATAGGCGAGGCTCATCTCTGTCTTCTTGCTAAATCCACTCCGCGGGTGACAGACGAGTGTGGTGAGGGCTCAGGAAGTCAGGCTGGGGTCTGGGTAGGGGCGAGGGGTCAGCCCAGCAGGCAGCGTGGGGCCCTGACAGGGAATAGAGGCTGTGAAGGCATCTGCCAGGAAGGAGAGTGAGGGTCACTGAGGTCCTGCACATGGCTCTGCCAGCCCCAGGCCCCCAATGGCCACAGCAGAAGTGAGTCTGAGCTTACCTCTGCCCCATCATCTTTGAAGTCTCATGATCTGTCTTAAAAGTTCATGCATATTTTGCCTTCCATGTTATCTCATATTTATTGCTTTTAATATAAAAATAGCGTTTTCAGTTGCCATCAGAAAATTTATCCTCTGGGGCACTGGGGACCCACGAATGGCACCGTGTCGGGGAATGGGCCTAGGTCTTCCCTGCTTCTGGATGACCCCCCCCAGAAGGTGTCAGTGGCCTGTCTCCCAGCCACCCCAGTGCTGCCCTCCAGGCCACCAAGGGCATGAGGCTTCGGCCTGCCGGCTTGGTGCCTCCATCCTCAGGCAGACAGAGCTGGGGCCCCAGCCCCGGGGTCTGCTCTCTTGTGGACAGCTGTGGGACCCTCCCCCACACTGGCCTCTTCCCTCCCTGGGCGTTGGTTTTCCTAGCTGTCATGGTCTGGGGCTCTGCTGGGCCCCACAGGAAGCAGGGAGCCTGGGTCAGAGCTCCACACGCCACAGGGAGGGAGCCTGCTGCTTCCGGCCAGCCTTGGATTAATGGCTTTTAATTTAGGATTTAATCAATGTGGCTTCTCTCCAGAGGGCTGGATGCTCTGGTCTGGGAGTGAATCGTAAGATCTGTGAGTAGGGTGGGCGGAGGGCCTCCGCCCTGGCCCCACCCTGGCCTTGCTCTGCTTTGCCTGCAGCCAGCCAGCATCCTGGTCATGGAGGACTGCAGTGTGCACTCGGCTGCCAGCATCCTGGCCTCGGTGAAGGAGCAGGAGGCACGCTTCGAGCGGCTGACTCGGGCGCTGGAGCAGGAGCGGCGCCATGTGGCCCTGCAGCTGGAGCGTGCCCAGCAGCCTGGTGTGGGCAGTGGTGGCATGGGCAGTGGGCAGCCCCTGCCGATGGCCTGGCAACAGCTTGTCCTACAGGTAACAGCCTAGTGACTCAGGAAGGGTGAAAATGTGTGGTCAAGTGGGGAAGCAATCAAGGGGCCCAAGTGGACCACAAGCCAGCATGCAGTGGTTTATTGCAAGACCTCCTGGGGCTTCAGAGGAGAGGAGGAAAGTGGGACCCCAAAGGGACTAGGAGTCCCCCTCGGGGCTGTGCTGCAGGACACAGCCTAAGCCTCAGAATAGAACTGTCTACCTGAGTGAGCCCTCAGGGACCAGGCAGCTGGGCAGGGTCTGTTCTCAGCAGTCAGCCTGGTGACACTGAAGGTTCTGCTTCCATGGAGTCTCCCTGCCTTCACTGCAGGTGTTAGTCAGAGAGTCAGGCCCAGGGGAAGGCTTGGGGATGGCTCCAGCAAGGCCTGGGCTCAACCTGCAGCCCAGAAGGTGACTGGCCATTGCCCAGCTCAGCCCCAGGAGGTGTGGGCCCTGTCTGCTCTGTGGCCAGACCCTGAGACCTCTGAAGTTGGATGTAGGGTCGGGTTAGGCCTCTTGGGCTCCGCCCCACATCCACTGTATCCCTTGCCTAACGTGCAGATGGAGTGACCAGCCCCTGGTTCGATGGGTGCGAGGGGCAGAAGGTGGGAGTGCTGGTGCCTGGAGTTTGTGTGATTGTTGGGGTTCCTGTGGTTGACTGAGGCTCAGGGCAGGGCACGAGCAAGGCAGAGCTGTCCCTGTCTCAGGAGCTGAGAGGAGGGGAGGGCTCTGGGTTGGGGTCCACCTTGCATGTCCTCACAGCCAGGCTCAGAGGCCTGGGGGCACTGCGGCCTACGGAGTCCCCTGGGCTTCTTGTAGCATGACCCTAGGGCCCCCAGCGGTGTCTTTGGCTCCCTGGGCATGGGCAGCAGTGTTGCCCCCCTAAACCTGGGAGCCGGATCTCTTCCTGCACATAGACACCCTCCCTTCTCCAGGGCATCAGGCCGCTGGCTGTGTGGGCCCGGCATCCACGTGCTGGAGGCTTGAGGGCAGCTTGCGCCTCTGTGGCTGGAGAGAAGGGGAGCAAGCTGCTGGTCTCGGCTGAGATAGGCCCCGTGGACTAGCCTCGCCTCACCTGGGTGTGTGGGGCTTAGAAGCAGCTGACTGTGTCAGGCTGGGGGACCTGGCCTGTGATTGCCCCCAGCCTTGATGGCTTCATCAGCCAGTGGGCGACCCACACGCACAGCCCAGCTTGGTGCACAGTCAGAGCCAGAGACATGTCTCCTGAGGGCCCAGACACACTGGCAGCCCCCACCATTGGATGGCTGTCTTCTCAAGCCCACTGGTGCTGAGGTGTCCGCACAGCCAGTTCATGGGAGGCTGGAACTGAGGCTAGGTGGGCCTGGATACGAAGTCCACCCCTGTGGCCCCCTGGACCTCAGGCACTCCAAGGGGTGAGGCCTGCCCCCCAGACTTGGCGGGGAGCAGAACAGCTGGCTGAGCCACATGGGGATAGTGGCAGCCCATGACCCTGAGGCCACCCTTCAGGCGCCAGGCACTCTTTCCAGCCCTCCCAGGCCGGAAGGGGCTCTGGCCTCCAGCCCAAAGGGCACTGATGAGGGTCAAAACCCCTTCAGGGAGATGTTCCCATCGCCTGGAACTGCCCTGGCCTCCTGAGGGCTTTGGCCTGAAGATCAGGCCACCACCCTCCCCGCCCACTGCCCCTCCCCACCCAAGGACCTCCAGGCCTGCCCTTGGTGTTCTTTCTTTTGAGAGGAGATGGTTTCTCAGGCTGAGATCAGAGGGAGTGTTTTCCCAGGGCTGTGGCTGGATTGACAGGGCTGATGGGGACACTGGGATGTCAGGGCCACATCCAGCTAGCCAGGCCTGGCAGCCTTTATGTCAGACCTGCTTCTCAGACTCATCTCAGCATGAGGTGCTTGGTTACCCACCTGTGAGCCAGGGCTCCCTGGACCTGGTCCTGGGTGTCAGAGCCAGGGTCGTGAAGCTTGGAGGCTGGTGGCAAGGCAGGGATTGGAAGGCTGGGTGGTGGGGGTCCTGCTGCTGTGTGCCCTAGGCTGCACCACGGTCCTGGCTACCTGCCCTTCATCCTCCAGCAGAAGGGGCCCCCCTCCAGATACCTGGAGCAGGGCTGGTCCTCACCCACTGTATGTGTGTGCGTGAGGGTGGGGTAGGGGTGGGGACACCTTTAGGGACCTAACCAGCTCTAGACTAGGCCAAGATGGGTAAGTGGCTGGGGCACTAGCAGCTGGTGAAATTTGGGAGAAGACAGAAAGGACTCACATGTAAGCATCCAGGGCAAGTTCCCTCAGGACAGTGGTACAGTCTTCTGCTCCTGCCCCAGGTGGCTCCTCTTAGGGCTGCCATGGATGCAAGATACAGGAGGCCAGTGGTCAGGACAACTCATGGGAAACTGAGGCTCAGAGGGGCATACTGTGGTCACCCAGAGTGCTTGAGCATGCTGGCTGCATGGCCTGTGTACATGGCATGTCCTGGAAAAGGAATAGCCCCAGGGGTGGGTTAGTTTTCTAAATGGGGTCTGGGGAGGAGCAGGTGGGAGGCAGGAAGCGGAAGCCAGGCTTCTCTAGTAAGAGAAGCCCTGACTAACTGCTCCCTCCAGCCACCACTTCCCTGGAGATCAAAGATATGGAGGAGAGAGGGTCTGAGGCCAGCTGGACCCCACAAGCTTTCGCCCAGGGTCACACAACAGTTGTGCCCTCTCCTCTCCCTTTGATCGGCTCTGACACCTCTCAGGATGGGGGACCCCTGGGCCTCTGCGTCTTGGTGGGGAGAATTCCGGATAAAGAGGGTCAGTGTAGGGCAGTTTGCTAGGTCCTGGTTGAGCTGTGTGGGGGTGCGTGCTGGGCAGTGGGCAAAGGCCTGGGGCCAGATCTGGGAGACCCGAAAAACCTCACAACAGTGACATCCCCGTAACTACTGTCGCATCGGCCCTCTTCCACAGCAGGGGAAACTGAGTCGCACCCAGGATGGGCAGCTTCTGCTGGCAGGGAGGCCTTGCGCGCTGCCCGTGGCCGGACTGCCCTTCCTCTGCCAGAACTTTCCGCAACTGCAGGAGGGTGCTGTGAACTCTTTTACTGGGGGCAAACCGAGGCCAGGGAAGGAAGACTCAGTGGGGAAGTCCCACCCCTCGGTGGAGGGCGGGGGTGCAGATCCGGAGCCCCGGCCCGCGGCAGGGGCGGATGGGCGACCCCG